ATATTATTCTACATATTACGTAATTTCCGATTGTTATTCCATTATTTTCTCTTTCACCCCATGTTGACCACACTTATTCTGATCATCTATCGCACAATTTCATTTCACTTATAAACTGATTCAGGTTAACACTTTATATTAGTCAGCCCCAACATTAACGATCTGATTTGATTTGATATGATAAACAGCAATCCTTGATTCACATATTACAATTTCCAAATGATGTACTCTGTCTTAAATCCGGCCAATTTTATGGATAATTAATTTGGATTTATAATTGTAGAACCTGGTGAGAAATTATTGAAAAGAATACTCTTCGTTCATACAATTGTGTTTTTAATGTAATGGGAATTTTTCAGCGAGTAAATCAACTTACATCAAAGAATTGTTTGTATATTTTACTGTTCTTTAATGTAACTTAACCGAAATAAGTCACTGTTCAAGTAAATTCTTACTTTTCTATTCAAGTGAAATGATTCAGATAACTTGTAAGTATTGTATGTCAGTAAATAAATTTAAATACAAGTATGAATGTTTATAAACCAGTGATTTAATACGGTATTTGATATTAGACTTCAGTCAAAAAGAACCATATACTAATCATTGAGCAAGTAGGTTAACACAGACATTTTAATGTAAAATAAAACATCTGTTAAATATTAACACTTATCAGTTATTCTCACTAGAGTTTTTTTTGTTTTCCGTTTTGTTAAATCAATTTTGTTGTTATTCACCCTCCTCTTTTCATCTATCTCTTTTATTCATTGGTTACAACTATTCTTATGGATAGAGACGGTATGTGTGAATCGATAAAATTTTGGTACTATGTTAATTGATGATAACGTCAATAGTTGATTGATCAGTAGTCTTTATTAATCAGTTGAAATATGCCTTATGGAAATAGTTTTTGAACAGCTTAGACATGAAAACATTAGAATACTTTTAAACATTCTAAGAAATAAAATGTATCTAATGTAATAAAAGCCATGGATTTAGTCAGTGAGGTAAATCTTTTCCCTAAACACTGGTTATGATGCTTACAATTTCTGTAAGTTGCTTGTTAATATTCTAAATTATGTTGACATTATCTAGGATATAGCTTTCGGCTTGTTTGGAATTCATCAGCTAAATTTATTTGGATTCCAGTTTCCATATTCACATTCGGACTCGAACTCACTGTCAGTCACTTAAAAGTTGAACAGATTGTTCACTGAACTACTGGTTTTTCATTTCCGATTATTGAGACTTGTGATAAATGGTGTATCGACAAAATCCGCTTTTGATGAATATATGCCAATAAACGTTCGCGCGAGACCAAAGATCCTGGGTTCGAATCTTGCGTACACTATCGTGAATGCACACTGTTGAGATGTCCCATACGAAACAGTTGTTCAATACTTCTAGGTTTTCAACAATCGCTACAACCCCATACTGATAAAAACTAGTAGACTGTAGTCCTGAATTTTAACAGTAATGTTACGAACTGTTGAAATTTGTACAATAATCTCACTCAGTTTCCTAAAAATAATCGTACTAGTAATATAGGATTTTCCATTATTGTTCTTATATATATATATATATATATATATATATATATATATATATATATATATATATATAACAAGTAGTTAGTAAGTGAACAAACATCATAAATTACTATTTAAAACCATCGTATAGCTACGATAAAAAGTTTAAGAGAATATGTTTTTTTACTAAACTAAATATTTATTCTTACTTATTTTATGTCTCAATGGATGTTTATTGTTTCTGGGTATTTTTATGAATAATAGTCTATGCAAAAAATCATTTATAGCTATGCGATTATTCAGCTGACGTGTATTACTGTTTTTATTTTGCACATAACTATTTTGGCAGGTGGTACTTTCTTCTTTTTTGTTTGTTCAGTTTTTATGTTGTATTATTATTACAATGAGTTCATTAGCATGATAATTTTCTTTTTATTGTCCCATTTATATATGCAATGTAATTTCTTAGTATACATTGGGATTGTATGAATTTATATGCTTTTATTTTATAAATTAAAACAGTACTGTTTAAGAAACTTATAGCAAAGAAGCATTGGTAACAACAATTGTTATAATTAAGGAATGTTTATTTGTCTTTCATGTTCTATTAATACTGAAGAAAGTTTTACGTTGAACTTATAATCTGGGGAGGCTTTGTGTTCTTTCTTCGGCACTATTCGAACTTAACTATTAAAATTTGCAAATTTTTATGTATTACCTAATATCAATTCTTGAAAGTTCAAGAAAAGGTTACTGTGTTGAGTGATGTATGAAAGGCGCCTAGTAATAAGTAAAGTGAACTTAAGATAACACAATAAGTATGATTATAGATAGATATTTGAAGTCTTGCAAACAGAGAACAAGTAATACTTCATTAGGCACAAGGAATTCACTTTATTTTCTATCTTTCCACTTCACATCACTTCCAACAGAACAACATTCATTCATGAATGCAAACAAGAGTAGGAAAAGGTCAACAATATTATATTTAATATATCTACCATGAAATAATCAGGTATTAAGCATTAGTCTAACCGGAAACTTATATTATCAAATATGTTGCTAGTTCGCTTGTATAGATTCTCATTTACCTGATAATGATTTCATTTAATTCTAAATAATTTATTTACTTATTTCATGTAAATATGTGTACAAAAGAAAATACTTCTTCATGATATACGCAAAGTAAAAAGGAGTTTGTTGAAGTGTTGCATGCCGAGAATCCCATATTGTAATAAAATGTGATACTGAATAAAGCCATTATTATTATTATTACTATTATTAAAAAGAAAGGTAATTTATGTCCCGAAGAAGAGAAAATAATTTATTACTTCCTAACTGAACATTTTATCTTTAGTTTGAAAACATCATTTTGAGATGTAACTATAATTATCCGATTTAAAGGAAATCATTTGTTATTGTTTTGTTTTACATTTTAAAAAAAGAAGGACGAATAGTTCACACAAAAAAGAGAACAATCATATTTTCAGAAGGGGGTTTTGTGGAGATTTTTTAGAAATTTCAATAGTTAAAATCATGAGTCAATTGAAGCTAGACTACCATAGAAAACCTGGAAGCACTGGATGTCCGTTTCATCCTAGTACGGGACTCCTCAACAGCGCTCACCCACGATACCGTCCCTCTCTCGAGATTCGAATCCAGGACATATCAGTCTCGCGAGCGAGCGTTTAACCATTAAACCACTAAACCGGCCGGCATCCAACGGTGTTAATCTCTAACTTCAACCATTCCACGAAGTTGCGCCACCGCATACCATTATATTCATTGAGTTGATATCTCACAACAGGCCTAGTTGAACTTCGCTGGTAACGGCTTCTCACTAGAACTCCAGGAAATGCCTACTGAAGTCAGTCACTAGTAAGCAGATGATTATTATCAGAAGGGGGTTTGTGGAGATTTTTTGGAAATTTCAGTAGTTGGATGGCGGTTCAGCGGTCTAATGATTAAGACTGATAGATCCCGGGTTGGAATCTCGAGGGAGGGGCGGTATCGTGGGTGAGCACTGTTGAGGAGTCCCGTACTAGGATGAAACGGCAATCCAGTGCTTCCAGGTTTTCTATGGTGGTCTAGCTTCAATTGACTCTATTTCAACAATCATATTTGTAGAATATAGTAGAATCATTGTACTACGTTGCTTCCTGTTTAGCTTTACGTACAAGCTACTATGTATAATTGATTAAATTATGAATAACATTCTGTTGAAATTATTTTATATTGTTTGTTTGAATATTCTCATTGATGTTTAGGACTGCAATTGATCAGTCTCTTGTTGGTATATGTGCATCCTGTGCGCATTGCCTTAAGTCACAGGCATTATAAGCAAAGATGTGTCGTGGATAGCAGTGGAATCAAGGACGCGCGTTTTGTCGTATTTGGGACATGTCAGCTGGATGAACCTACATCCTAAATTTAATAATTTACTTCAAGACTCAGACCGTTCGCTTCGAATGCCAATAAGAGACTAATCAATTGCATTTTCAAACGTCAATGGGAAAATTCAAGCAAACAATACACAATGAATTTAAGCTTCATCTTATTACAAAAAAGACATATTAGTTAAATTCACAATAGCGTAATCGATTAATTAAAGAAAAGAAAGGTCTAAATCCACCTCCTCACTAAGATCGTCGAAGATAAGGTGCTGAGTCTTATTGAATGCAATCCATCTTTTCTAAAAAATATGTAAACGCATTGGCTTGTATATAGCTGAAGAGAAAGCAGAGGAATACTATGAATTCATTGTGTTCTATACATATAGTCGTTATTTCCTTGTTTAGATTTGTGAGGGGAACTAAATGTACGGGAAAACATTCTAAACTTCACTTCGTCTTGTAGTCTACTACTTTTATTTATATGCTACGTATTTCAGAAGTTTTCGTAGAAAATTTTATTACATTTACTGAACTCATTGACTAAGAAAAAATGGATGATATAGATAAGTAGTTATAAAAAGAATTTAATTTGATAAATAAGTCACCTAGTCGGTGCAGACATCGCGTTGTCAGTGGAGTTTATACTATTGATTACTATTGAATATATCAGATTCTATACAGAATTATTTTGTTTGTTCTGTCTAGGTTTATGACCTCTAGAAAATAACCATCTACTATACCAAATGAGATCAGGTCCAGGATATGTAGGTTATGGAGTAGGTACTATACATTTTAACTTGTGAGTTATATATTCTGCCTGATGTATTGTGCGACAATCATAAAATGATGTCAGCGAATGGCTGCTTTAAACCCGACATAGTTGGGCTGATTGAACCACAATATATAACACAATTAACGATTGCAGGCCTCGTAGACAGTCAAGTCATTTAATTGACCAGTATTCTAAGAGAAATCAACATAGTTTATAGTGTTTGTTTACAAATATGTAACATGATTTACTTCACAATTTTATTTAGATAATGTAAATTCATTTCTCCTTCTTAATTGTAAATATTTTCAGGTTGTGGTCAAAATTTTCACAAAAAATGCGCGTACAAAATACCCAACACATGTACTGGTATAAGTACCAGATCAAGTTTAACGAAACAATCCAGTTTTGAAATAAATAACCAATCATCATCCAATTTGTCAAAAAATACCGTAGGTTATTTTAGCTTATCTTTCATTTTAAAGCATATTTCTTTGTATTATTGCTTTTTCATCCATCTCTCATATTTATATCATTGAACAATGAGTATTTTGTCTAGCCATTTACAGTCATGCATTTTTAACCTGACTAACAAACTAACTCAAGAACTCAATGGTACTATGTTATTTATGAATATTTCAGGCCTAATTCTGTATAATACTGTAAGAGTGTATTAATGATACGTTCAGACTATTACAAATAGTTTTCACAGCAATTCTAGATGATTATTATTTATAATATAAAGTAAATACACCAACAGATTTGTAAATTTGTAATACTGATATTGCGTCATCATTTGCATTTGTTGAATTTATTCTTCACTGTCATAATTTTCCAAAAGATTCAGTTAAAACGTACAAATGTTAATTTGTCACCATATTTTTTTCTAATGAGCATTTAAACATCAGTAGGTTTCTGATGTATTCATCCTCCTTCTTTTCAATTTGCTCTTAGGTATACTAAATATTTTATTAGTACAAAACTAGATTTCATTATAATTATGAACTGTAGTTAAATTTCATGGTAGGTTTGGTATCAGTTAGTCTACCAAGGAGAAATGGACAACATTAACAACCCTACAGGAAATTTTATTTCAAGTTTTCAACTTTCTTGGTGAGCGTATTGTGTTACACTACTTAATCCAATAAAACCCAGTGGTAATCAATATCAAAACACTATGAATAAATATTTATAGGATCGTATATTTCTAGTATCATTTTAAATTATAGATGATGTTTTTCTATAAGATATAATCAATGAGAAGATACAAGTAAGCAACATCAAATAGAATATAAGATATAATCAGTTATTGAGATTTTTTATATTGTTGAAAATTAACTAAGTTCGAATTTACTATATAAAAAAGTTTACACAATGAATTTGAAACAAATTTGTAAAATTAAATAGATTCATACTACTTATATATATAAAATACCCTTGTGGGCCAGGGTAATTTTATATTGGTTTTCAGAAGAACCAGACACCGTCCAGACTTTCACATGACAACCCAAAAGTACAGCTCAACCCCGTTTAACAGGAGAGCCAGACACCGTCTAGGCTTGAATTTTATAAACCGAGCAGTACAGCTCAATCCCGCTTCACAGGGGAACCAGACACCGTATAGGCTTTAACTCTACAATCTGAATAGTACAGCTCAATCCTGTGGCGCAACCACACAGGTACCAAGCGCTCTGGTGGACCATTCGCACCATTCATATGCACATTCACATTCCTATCAATGATCGCATGAACCAATTATACACAGCACGAACAGGCCAAAGTTGACCTACTCCGCTTACATGACAGTCAAACTCATTAATGTTAGCAATGGCGACATACCTTACAATGTCCCACTGACGATGGCCCTCGAGAACCCTGAAAATCAGCCACCAGTATGAATGAAATCGGTTAACCAGCAAACCGATTTTGCGTTTGGACAGTCAGCAAAACTTGTCAAAGCAATGCCGAACTATCCACAATACCAATGGTGAACCTACAACTATACATAGCCATATAGATTATACTGCATACAACACATATGTAGGTTAGTAAGAGAAATAGCCCAGCCTGGATCGTTATGGCTTATATAATGCTTAAAACCCATTGTCTGGTGTCGGAATATTATAACTAGACCACCAAGATCATTTTGATCGCATTTGCGAAATTTTCATTTTTACGACTTTTGAGACCCCGAGTTAGGGGTAGTATCCATTATTATTATTATTATTATTATTATTATTATTATTATTATTATTATTACTATCTACTTCAATACCTTGAAATTTCATAAGTGAAAATGATAAGAAAATAACATACTTGTTTAGGAAGTAATGAAATCATTTGGCTCTAAATTCAAAAACATGGTAGGTAGTATTTGTTACCTAGAGATGTACGTAAAATAAAAAAGATATCTTGGAGAATCCTAAATGCGAGTCAAGAGTGAAAGAAATGAAATGTACCATATTTTGAAAGTTTCCCGTAAAATCGAAAAAAATACGCATTTTGAATCAATACTAATGGAGAAACACTTAAAAAAGAAAAAGAAATCCGAGAGAAAAGATTGTGTTATTTATTATTATTGTCATTTATTTAAACACAAACATCGGTACAAGGAGACACCAAACAGATATACGCGACATAAATCATTCGATTTATGTGAAGGGTGGGATACTGCCCGGGTGTCCAAACCGAACCGATTGGTATTCTTAGGGAGCCACATCTGGAGCCTTCGGCCTAAAGGTCTATTCTACAAGGCAATGAAGCAGCGTTATAAGATGCAGTCCTATGGTAGGCGGTGACCAACGATTGGTTTATACGCAATTTGTTCCCTCAAGATACTCGGGCCCATGTGCACCACTGGTTTGGAATCAGGGTTTTTCAACTCCCCTAGGTGGACTCTCCATGTCCACCAACCTGGTTAAAGCGCCAGACCTTTGCTTTTCGTCCTCTCAACGTCGTGAAAAACACTCCCGCCACGAGAAGGCAATGAGTAGGACTAGCCTGGGATAGGCTATATACGCGTGGCCATGTGAAAGCGGACTCTCCCCACTTGGCCGTACCAGTGCATTTGGGGGCAAAATGCAAGATAGTTACCAACTAATGTTTACATAATGTTGCAAATCAATTAAAGGTATTAAAATGTAAACCTCTGATACCTTGGTTCTACTCAAATCATTATTCCTGTTATTTTCAACCACCAAAATAATGTAGTTCTGTTGTTACACGTTGAGGTACTTTTACGTAGTTATGTAGCGTTGTGAAAAGTTGTTGATTTGATCATAAAAATAATTTTATAACAGTAACTGCAGTATTAATCATTTTGAAGTTGAAGTAATATAGATAAGTAATAAACTACATCAAGAAAACTTTAGGGGATATAAACGATTTATATGAATAAATTAATCAATAAATACTTTTTGGCATATGTGTATGGTAACTAAACCATCTAGATGGAATGTTTAATTAAACTGACTACAAAAAATTAAAATAAATCAAATATTAGTTGTGTTAGTATATATAAAGAATTTGAATTTGTTACAATTTGTTATAACTGAGCAGAGGCTAATGAAGCTTAATGCAAATAAGAAATCGAGACTGTAGACAGACATTTTATGCACCGACAATAAATCGATATCTGATCAACAACCATATGGAAAATATGCTGACTTATATCTCATTTACTTATTTGGTTTTATAGTCATATTTGATTATAATGAACTAGGTAATACTTGGCATAAACTAATCAGTTTACAATAACAGTAGACCAAACTACATTAAATAATAAATACAACTAAATACTGAGTTATATAATTTCCTCTTTCAGTATGTAAATGGCTTAATGATTTGATAATGACAGAATGAATACTTACAGTTCAAAAATGTTTGATGAAGAAAATTATGTATTTAAATGCAAACTACAGAGGACATTTGGAGATATATTCATCCTCCGTCCTGACAAAGCGGTTTCGTGTTTATCTAGCAATGATTTAAATGTGAGATGATACTCAACTTGTTTTATACTAGTATGGATGATGTGAGAAGAATCTTTTTTACTGACGCATGCTAGAAGTACAATTAAATCGAAGATTATTTATTTCTTAACTTTTATAGTTCTACATCTTCTTTGAATAAAGCAAATAATGTGAAAGTTATTAATCAGTCAGTAGTAGCCAATGTTATGTTGTCCAGTTGTTAGTGTAAATTACGATGTAACCACTATCTTAAATAACGTAGGAGCACATTGCGCAATATTAAAGGACTAATGTAATTAGTAAAGAAATCATGAGTCTAGGCTTTATATACGTTAGAATATGTCACTATGGTATATCTGTATTCTTGTGAAAGTTAGTGATTCCTTTGGAATATAAGTCCATAATCACATAGATTATAACCGAGCTATTCAGCATGCGATTACTTCTTTATAGAATTAACATGCTTAAAATAATCTATCACTTATTAATAACCAACTTTATGTTATCTGCCAAGTAATGATGAACAAATATATTATCTATGTGATGTAATTTATGAAAGGTTATGTATACTCGTCAAGTTTTCTAATAATTGTTTTGATAGCTGAGGTACTACTTAAATGTTATACATATTTATACCTGATAAAAGTAACTAACGAGTAAATTACAGACCAAGCTGTTTGTTTGCTTTTCAATTTTATAATATATTTGATATAATGGTTATTAATTAGGATAATAGACCAAATAATGTAAATTTCATGGGGAATTCATTTACCTAACATTAATATACACAAAAAGAGAGCAGGGTTCAAACTGGATTTAATAAACAACCTGGAATTTTTTAAAGTCAGCAATGAAAAAAAAAGATGTGTTAACAATGGCCAAAAAATTCACTGTAACGATATTGAGGGTGTACGACTGTGATCTAAATGAAGTGAACATCTACTTATTACTTGGAATTTAGTTTAGATTAAAAAATGGTGCTATCCAGAAGATCACAAAAAAACTGGAGTCATATATATGTAGTACATGCCTAGGTTTGATTCTGTGATTAGCCCAAGGTAATAACTTTTGTTGAGTTCCAAACTAAGACTGAACAAAAAAATCATTGTCTTTTTCAGTAGTTTTCAATATAAATAGTCTTTAAATTGAAGTCTGACTGTTAGTTCTAGAGCATGATGTTAATTATTTATATAATTCAATAACCTGAAGAAAATATAACATAATACATCAAAAAAATAACATTTTCGTCCTTGCGTAATGGTTTTATTATTTCTTCCTATACATCAATATAAAGTCATAACACACTGTTGAGACATTAACACTCCACTAAAATATCAATTTTTAGTGACATTCATATGAAGTTTCAGAAGGATTGTATGAAAAATGGATGATTTTTGAACAATCAAGTCAGTAAACTGTTGTGAAGAGAACTTTAATGGCTTTGATTCTTTAACCAATCACCGTCTTAACCGTTATTATAT